ATAACTTTCCCTCCATGAAAATGTCAGAAGTAGGGATGTTCATTGTGCAATCATCAATGTTCAGCACCGTTTGTGACTCCCAGATACTGAAGCAATCCATGTCAGAATGTGACATTATCTAGATGATGTGAAAATTTAGACTGACAGGTGGCAAATAACATAAATGCTACCTAAGTACTAGCCAATGGCCGTTTCCAAGAAGACAGCATTTATCATTGTCCCTTAATATTCAACGGTATTGCCATCACTGAAACTTACCCTATCAAAATCCTGGGATTTACCATTGACAGAAACTGAATTGGACTTGTCACATAAGTATAGCAGCTACAAGAACAGGTCAGAAGCCAGGAATCTTGCACTGAGTAACTCATCTCCTGACTTCCCAAAGCCTGTAAATCATCTACAAGGCGCAGTCAGGACTGAAATGGAATATTCCCAACTTGTCTGGACAGTGCAGCTCCAACAACACTCAAGAACCTCCTTTGTTGAATACCCCTCACAACAAGTGATAAAATCTCCAGTTGTGAAGAAGGGTCACTGGACCTGAAATGTTAACTCTAATTTCTCTCACAGATGCTGCCAGATCTATTAAGATTTTCCAGCAATTTCTGTTCTTGTTTTAGATTGATGTGTTGGTTTTAATTTTCCAAAATTCTGTAGACTGGGGAGGATTCCATTAAGGTTGGGAAATACCAAATGTAATTTCTTTATTCAAAAGATAACAGAGATAGAAAGCGGGAAACTAGCATCTGACATAGGGAAGATGTTTGAAGCTATTATTAAAGACATTATAGTGGGGAACTTAGTAAAATTCATAGCAATCAGGCTAGATAAATATCCTTTTGTGAAAGGGAAATTATGTTTAGCCAACTTATTGGAGTTCTTTGAGAAAGTAATATGTGCTGTGGTTAAAGTTGAGCCAGTGGAAGTACTATACTTAGATTTACAGAAGGTATTTGATAAAGTACCATATCAAAGGTTATGGTGGAAAATATAAGCTCATGGTATTAGGTATGATATGGTTGCTAAATTTCCTGATGACACAAAGATAGGTTGCAAAGTGAGTTGTGAAAAGGACATAAGGAGACTGTAAAGGGATATGGATATGTTAAGTGAGTGGGAAAACATCTGGCAAACGGAGTGCAGTGTGGGGAAAATATGAAATCATCCATTTTGGTAGAATCATAGAATCCCCAGGGTGTGGAAGCAGGCTGTTCACTACATTGGGTCCACATTGATCCTCCAAACAGCATCACACCCAGACCCACTCCCCAATTCTATTCTTGTAACCCTGCATTTCCCATGGCTAACTCACCCAGCCTGCAGATCCCTGGACACTAAGGGCAATTTAGCATGGTCAATCCACCTAAGCTGCACACCTTTGGACGAAAATATGTGAATGGTGATTGATTGCAGAACTCTGAGATGAAGTGTAATCTGGGTGTCCTAGTACATGAATTGCACAATGTTAGTATTCAGATACAGCAAGTAATAATGAAAGCTAATAGAATGTTATCATTTATTGCAAGGGGACTTTAATACAAAGTAGTGAGGTTATGCTTCCAATATACAGGACATTGGTGAGACCACATCTGAAGTGCTGAATACTGTATTAGCCTCCTCATTTAAGGATGTAAAAGCTAATATCTAGAGGCAGGTTGGGGGAATGGTTGAGCAATATTACTTAGTGAGGATAGTGTTTCTGGGCTAGGCTTGTATCTGCTGGAGTTTAGAAGAATAAAGTGCAACATGGTTGAAACATAAGAATCTAAGGGATCTTGACAGTGTGCATGTGGAAAGGATATTTCTTGTTGTGGGAGAATAACAGGAGAATATAGAACTAGAGGTTACTTCTTAAAAACATTCAAGATTGAGATGAGGAGAACTTCTTTATGGTTGAGTAGTTTGAAATGTCTTCCTCAAACAGTGATAGAGCCAGCTATATATCATAATATAATATATTAAAAGCAGAACTAGATCAATTCTTAATAAGCAAAGGATGAAAGATTAACAGGGGTAGGCTGTGGTGGAGTGATCAGATCATCCAGGATCTTATTGAACATTGGAGCAGGCTTGCAGGGCCTAGTGATTTCTCCTGCTCCAACCTAAATGTGTGCCTCTCTGACTATTCAATAACATCCCTTTGTAGCATCTATGCCTTATATCAGCCCATACTCCTAACCATCACCTTTTGCTCTTACACCCTTATGCCAACTTGCACAATATCCACCATGGGCAGACCTCAGGGACCCATGCTGAAATTAAATATGATAATGTTGCGATCAATGTTAAAAACCCATTAACTACACTTAAATTCCTTCAACAACCAAATCCTTTATAGCAAGTATTTTGTTCATACCCCCATATCAAAGTCTTTGTAACCGCTTGGAGCTGTCAGTCAAATTGTGCGCTGACAAGCCCCTGGCTGTGTTAAGTTTAGGTTGTGAAGTGAGCATGTAGCATGAATCCTGTTAAAAACTGCCCTCTGGGTTATGTAAGTACATAGGCAGAGTGAAACAGCAAGCTCCCGATCTTTTTAAAGCTCAACTTTGGTCATTGACCAGAAACTTAACTGGATTGACTGCACAAACACAGTGGCTATGAGAGCAAAACCGGGAATTAGGAACACTGTGCCAAGTATGTCACCTCTTGACTCCCCAAAGCCTGTCCAAGGCACAAGATAGAGTGTAATGGAATATCCCCACTTGCCTAGATGAGGGCAGCTCCAACAATATTCAGGAAGCTTGACAGCAACCAGGATAAAGCAGCCCACTTGATTGGAACCACATCCACAATCATCCATGTCCTCCATCTCTCATGCTTAGTAGTTGCAGTGTGTACCACCTACAAGATGCACTGCAAAAATTCACCAAAGATCCTTAGACAGAACCTTCCAAACCCACGACTGTTTCCATCTAGAAGGACAAGGGCAGCAGAGACAAGGGAACACCACCACCAGTAAGTTCCCTTCCAAGCCACTCATCATCCTAACTTGGAAATATATCACCATTCCTTCATTGTTGCTGGGCCAAAATCCCTCCCTAATGGTATTGTGGGTCAACCCACAGCACATGGACTGCAGTTATTCCAGAAGGCAGCTCACCACCACCTTTTCAAGGCCAACTAGGGATGGGCAATATATGTTGGCCAGACAGCAGTGCCCACGTCCCATGGGTGAATTTAAAAAAAATTTGTTAAAATTTAAAGAACAGGATATTTTGCTATTTGACAGCACAACAGCTTTGAAAGGCTGAACAGCTGCAATGCGTTTATTCACTTTTAATGCACATTCATGTCCATGTTTACCATTCCAAAGAACTCCAATAGGTTTAAATCTCTTGCAAAGTATAAAATTCACAAACTGTGCTCCCATTAACAAAATAGGAATCTGATTGAAGACAGTTGCGTGTTTTCACAGGGCTGGTACTCCACAATGGAGGCTTCAGTGACAAATTGACCAAGCTAGAGATGCTGTCCAACATTACAAAAATTCAAGCCAAAATTACAAGTTGTAAGTGAAACTTCGGAAGTGCACGTAGCACTTAATAGGCTTCATCTCTCAATTAACCTCAAGTCTGAAAGGGAGCAGTCCCTTTACACAATGTGTTAATTGAGAAACCCATTAATGAGTTGTCTACTATTGTCTGTAACAAGCCTTCTTCACTGGTTGATATACAGAATTGGAATTCCTAGAGCCTGCGTGATATGACTGGCTTTATCAGCACCTTCTATGAGGGGCCAAAAATGTTTCCCTAACACATAAACTTGATGCCAAAATAGCTATGCAGCAGCCAGTAAGATTATAGCTCAATCATATCACATGTAAATTCACAAACAGGCCTAAGTTGGTTACTTGCAGTTCTGAAATGTGTCCAATTTACCTCAGATTACCCTAGAATAGTAAGATGCCTCAAGAATTTGAGGAACAGGTAAAGCTAACTGCCACACTTTGTTACTATGCAATCATAAAATGAGTATTATTCTCCATTAATAAGATACAGCTTGTCTGGCTAAAAAAAATGTTCTACCTACCACACAAGTAAGTATGGGGTATACAAACTACAGTGCCGGTGCAGTGCTAGATATGCAACCCATACATTCTACTGACTGGTGGATCATATCAAATAGCATATCCTTTCGACTGTTCACGACAAACGTAGTATTGATTATTGTCAGCAGCCTGTGCTGTCAAAATTGGAATATGGTGTTCAGCATTAGATGGGATTCAAATATTACGCAGCATTTGCTGAACAATCCTGTGTGTGTTAAGAATTAGATTAAAAACCAGTTGAAGATTATCAGAGATAACAAGGTGTAGAGCTGGATGAACACAGCAGGCCAAGCAGCATCATAGGAGCAGGAAGGCTGACGTTTCGGCCCTAGACCCTTCATCAGCATCTGCAGTTCCTACTATCTTTGAAGATTATCAGTTGGGTTTGCAAGCTGGTATACCAATGGGTGCAAGAAGCTACAGGTATTGATATGCAGGGACTGGTCCTCAGCAGGAAAAAGGCCTTTGTCCATGGATTGTACCTTTTTCAATTAGACCAAAGCTTGTGTGTTTTCCATGGCAACACCTTGACCAAATTAGAGTCCACCTGTCATCTATCAGCGCCATGTTTCTTATGCCTCTAAACTGTTGTTTCCTTTGAAATTTGGTATTTCTGTGGCTGTCCTGATGTATCCAAGGTGAAAATGTACAACAGCTCGTCCCTGTATCAGCAAAACTGCCAAGTCCAGTACCACCAAGCAACTATCTGTATGGTTTTAAGTACATCTCTGATTAAACATAATATATAATTCATTAAGCATGTGATAAATGCCTACTTGTGCAATTCGGGAATCGTTATCAGATATTTAATACTGTCTTTGTCATCATTTATATATTTTTAATAAGTTCATTGATATATGATTTTTAAAAAAATAAGGATGTATTAGGTGATGCAGAGACAGACCTGATTTATAATGATCAACTCCCCATTAATTTGTTTCACCACCAGTTTAACAGATGCATCACGTCACAGCTCATCAAATGGTTCAGCAATTTTCGAGAGTTTTACTATATCCAGATGGAGAAATTTGCCCGACAGGCTGTAAATGATGGCATAACCAATGCCAATGATCTAAAAGTCAACAGAGACTCCGAACTTTACCGTGCACTCAACATGCACTACAATAAAGCCAATGATTTTCAGGTCAGTCATTTCCATCCACTTTGAAGTCTTCTATCTCTATAGATATTTATTAGATGATTGTACTCCACTTCACCATCCTGCAATCCGTATATATCCACATATAAATCCAGTAACCTGTGGATAAAGCATAAGATCATTTGACGTGTCAGCAAAGAAATAAGCCATTGGTCCCATCAATGTGTACTAGTGTTTCCCCATTTGGATGCAATCCAATTCTCCAGTTCATTCATAAAACAAAACAAAGAACTGCAGATGCTGGAGATCTGAAACACACAAAGATAAAAATTGTTAGAGAAACAACAGCATCTGTGAAGAGAAAACGGAGTTAATGTTACAAGTCTAGTGACCCTTCTTCAGAACTGAGGGTCAAAACTGAGTTCTGAAGAAGGGTCACTGGATTTGACTTTAACTCAGAGATAGCAGGAACTGCAGATACTGGAGAATCTGAGATAACAAGGTGTAGAGCTAGATGAACACAGCAGGCCAAGCAGCATCAGAGGAGCAGGAAGCTGATGTTTCGGGCCTAGATAACTCTGTTTTCTCTCTGCAGATGCTACTGAGTTTCTCCACAAGCTTCTGTTCTTGTGTGTCTCTTGCTTATTCCCTTTACTTCTTTTCAAGCAACTTTCTAGCATTCTTCCTTAAAGAACATATTGATTTCATATCAAGAGCTAATTAAATTTAGTGTAAATAAACATTTTTTTCTAATCTCTTTTGTGATTACCTTAAATGTCTTAGCATCAAACCAACCAGTATCATCATTTATCTTATTAGACCTTTAACAGTCTCAAAAATCTATATTAGATACCTCTTAAGATTCTCAGTCTTATTTTATCCAAATTTTCCAACACTATAACCTCTCATTCCTGCTTACCTCTGAGCCAATTGGTGCTGCACCATTTTAATTATTTTTAGACCAACCTATAAATGGGGTGTTTAAAACAGTGCACAATACATCCCACCACAATCTTGTACAATTTGTCATAGAGTCAAAAAGCGTACAAACACATCCTTTAGCCCATCATGCCCATGCTGGTCAACAAACACCAAACTACACTAATCCCATTTACCTGCATTTGGTCCATAGCCTACCATGCCCTGATTTTAAGTACTTATCCAGATACTTTTGAAATGTTGCAAGAGTACCTGCCTCCGCCACCCTCTCAGGTGGCATGTTTCATATATCTACCACCCTCTGAGTGGAAAAAAAAATTCCCTCAGATCTCCTCTGAATCATTTGCTCTTTACCTTAAACTTATGCTGTCTAGACTTAGACACATCTGCCATGGGAAGAGATTAGAAACATAGAAGATAGGAGCAGGATGAGGCCATTTAGCCCTTTGAGACTGCTCCGCCATTCATCACTATCATGGCTGGTCATCCAACTCAACAGCCTAATCCTGCTTTCTTCCCATAACCTTTGATCCCATTCGCCCCAAGTGCTATACCTATAGAAACATAGAAGATCGACTCTGTCTATGCCTCTCATAATTTTATATACCTCAACCCCGATATTCCCTTCAGCTTCTTCTGCTCCAAGGAAAACAAACCCAACCTTTCCAGTCTCGCATCGTAACTGAGACTTTTCATCCAAGTCAACATCCTGATGAATCTCCTCTGCACCCCTTCTAGTGCAATCACATCCTTCCAATAATGAGACGACCAGAACTGCACACAGTTTTCCATCAGTAGCCTATTTGTAAGCCAATTTTGCATTCAGTTTGCCAACTTGCCTTGTATCCCATGTACTCTTCTCAGTGGGTCTTACATGTGAAGCCTTGTCAAAGGCCTTACTGAAGTCCATGTAAACCACATCAACTGCACTACCCTCATCAATATCTTTAGTCACAAAGGAACTAGGTGAATGGGCAAGCTATTGTAGATAGATTTTGAAATAAGCAAGTATGAGGTCATCCATTTCATATTTTAAAAAATCAAGATGTTTTTACAAGGCACAAAGTTAAATGCAGTGAATTTCCAGCCAGATTTGAAGGTTCAGGTGTAGAACTCCTTAAAATGCCACAAACAGGTACAGAAAATAGTCAAGAAGGCTAATGGAATATCTAAAGAGCCAACATGTAAGGAAACAAAGGTTATGCTGCAGTATATACAAAACGCTAGTTAGACCCCACTTAAAATACTATGAGTAGACCTGGGCACCACACCTTAGGAAGAATGCTTTGGCACTGGCGGGAGTTCAATGCAGGTTTACAAGGACGATACCTGGACTTCAGGGGTTTAGTTATGAGAAGATTAGACAAATTAGGCTTTATTCTCTGGAATTTAGAAGGTTAAGGGGTGATTTAATTGAGGTTGAAAGGATATTAACAGGGAAGTAACTAAAGATAAACTATTTCTACTAGTTTAAGATCTAGAACAAAGAGGCATAGTCTAAGAATTATAACCAGGCCAGTCAGGAAAGGTATTAGAAATCATTTCTACATGCAAGGAGTCACGGAGGTCTCTTCCTCACAAAAAGTCATAGAATATGCAGCATGGAAGCAGGCCCTTCAGCCCAAACTACTCCATGCTGACCATGGTGCCCGCTCAGCTAATTCCAATTGTCTGCATTTGGTCCATATCCCTCTAAACCCTTCCCATCCATTTAACTTTCCAAATGCTTTTTAAATGTAGCTATTGTATCTGCCTCAACCACTTTCTCCAGCAGCCAATTCCATATATGCACCACTCTCTGTGTGCAGAAATTGCCCCTCAGGTCCTTCTGAAATCTATCCCCACTCACCTTAAACCTCTGCTCTCTAGTTTTCAACTCCCCATCCCTGGGAAAAAGACTATATGTTTTCATCCTATCTATACCCCTCATGATTTTATACACCTCAATAAGGTCACCCTGCATTCTCCTACATTCCAAGGAATAAAGTCCTATATCGTTAGCAACTCCTTTGTCTGTCCAACTGTCTTTCTCTCTGTTTGGGCTCTATCCTATCGTTTACTCCCTACCCCACCAACCTCCCTATTTTCTGCATATAAACTGACGTTTTCCCAGCCGCCATCAATTCTGAGGAAGGGTCACCGGACCCAAAACGTTAACTCTGTTTTCGCCTTCACAGATGCCGCCAGAGCTGCTGAGCTTTTCCAGCAACTTTGTTTTTGTTGTGAATAAAGTCCTCTCCTGGCCAACCTCTCCCTATATCTCAGGCTACTAGTCCTGGCAACATTCTCACAAATCTTCTTTGCCCACTATCCAGTTTAACTATGTCTTTCCTATAAAAGGGTGACCAAAATGTACACAATACTCCAAGTGCAGCCTCACCAATGACTTATACAACTGTAACATAACATCCCAACTCCTATATTCAATACCTTGACCGATGAAGGCCAGCATGCTAAATGCCTTCTTCACCACCCTGTCTACCTGTGACGCCGCCTTCAGTAAACAATGTACTTGTATTCCTAGGTCCCTCTATTCCACAACACCCTCAGGACCTTACCAGTTACTGTACAAGTGCTACCTTGATTTGACTTTCCAAAGTGCCACACGTCATACTTACCTACGTTGAATTGCATTTGCCAATCCTCAGCCCTGTTTGATCAAGGCCCCTCTGTAATTTATGGTAACCTTCCTCGCTATCAACGATACCTCCTAATTATGTATCATCTGCAAACTTACTATTCATGCCTTGTACATTCACATCCAGATCATTTATGTAAATAACAAAATAACAAAGGTCCCAGCACTGACCCTGTGGCACACCAGTAGTCACAGGCCTCCAGTCTGCGAAACAACTAAAGTCTATATAGACAACATCCATTGCCTTACCCTCATCTATCTTCTTGGTTACCTCTTCAAAAAACTCTAAAAGATTTGTCAGACATGACTTCCTGCACACAAATCCACACTCACTATCCCTAACCAGACCTTGACTATCCAAATGTTGGTTCTGTCCCCCAGTATCCTCTCCAATAACTTGCCTACCACTGATGTCAGGCTCACTGGCTCAGTAGTTCCCTGGCTTGTCTTTGCTACGTTTCTTAAACAATGGAACAACATTAGCCACCCTCCAGTCTTTCAGAACTTCACCAGTAGCTAAAGATGAAGCAAAAATCTCTGCAAGGGCCTCTGCAACTTCTTCCCTAACCTCCCACAACATCTGGACTTGATCAGGTCCAGGGAATTTAATGCACTTTAAGGCTGCAAACACCTCCTCTCTGGTAATATTATGCAGTTGAAAACATCTCCACTTGTTTCCCTTATTTCCTTAGTGTCCATGATTCTGTCCTGAGTAAACACTGAGGAGAAATATTCATTAAAAATCTCCCCTATCTCTTGTGGCTCCACACATAGACTGTCATGCTGATCTTTAAGGGGACCTATTCTCTCCCTAGCCACCCTTTTACTCTTAATATAGCTATAGAACCTCTTGTGATTATCTTTAACCTTATCTGCCAGATCCATCTCATACCATCTTTTTGCTCTTCTGATTTCCCTCTTAGGTGTGCTCCTACACTTTTTGTAGTAATCTAAGGATTCACTTCAGCCCAATAGCTTAAACCCAATGTATGCCTTCTTCTTTTTCCTGGCCAGAACCTCGATATCCCTGTTCAGCCAGGGATCCCTAAACCTGCCGGCTTTTCCCTTCACTGTAATGGGGACATACTGTCCCTGGCCTCTTGATTCACACTTTTAAAAGCCTCCCATTTGCTAGTTGTTCTTTTTCTTTAAAACAGACTCATCCAATCGACCTCTCCTAGATCCTGCCTAATGGCGCCAAAATTGGCTCCAGTTGAGCACCTTAACCTGTGGACCTGTCCTGTATTTTCCATAACAATGTTAAAACTAAGAGAGTTATGGTCATTGGACCCAAAGTGCTCTCCAACTGACACTTCAATCACTTGCCCGACCTCGTTTCCTAAGAAGAGGTCCAGTATTGTACCCTCCCAGGTAGAGCCCTCTACATAGTGATTTAGGAAAATTTCTTGGACACATTTGAATAAATTCCACCTGGTCCGGGCCTTTTACAACCTGGGTGGCCCAATAA